GCATCACTAGGAAGAGAACCCAAGAGAAGCTGTTGGTAACAGTGCAGCCCAGTTGCAGCAAAGACCCCAGCATTTTGGAGATGCCACTACCATGGAAGGACCTCCAAGAACGGCAGCTGTTTTGGAGTGGAGCCAGCCAGAGCCCAGAAAACAAGCTGTGTGTGCTGCAGAGGGCAGAGCTGGAGAAGTGACCCGAGGCCCTTGGAGGGACCCAGAGGATCATGAGTGACTCCCAGATAATTGGACGTTTAGTTACTTACACTTTTGGAGTTTGGTTTTACTTTGTTCAGATTGTGACTGTGCTCTGGTTCTTCCATCTTGAAGCAAGAAACTATTTAACTTATTTATTTATTTTTTTATTTTACAGGCGCCCACAGTCGAGGGACTGAATTTTTAAATAGATTTTAAGTTTTAAAAAAGACTTTGCATTTTTAAATAGATTGAATTTTAAAGTGTTTGAATTTGTAGAGACTGTGGAACTTTTTAAGTTTGTAAAATGTTTTCTATTGTGATGTTGATTTTAATGTGTGATCTTAGGGATGAACAAGAAATGAAAGGTTATAACTTTAACAGTAATATGTTTGTGGGTCAAAGTGACAAGGGATCAATTGTCCAGGCTAGTTTTATGTCAACTTGATACAAGCTAGAGTCATCTGAAAGGAGGGAACCTCAATTGAGAAAATGCCTCCCTAAGATCCAGCTGTCGGGCATTTTCTTAATTAGTGGTTGGTGGGGGTGGTGCCATCTGTGGGTTGGTGGTCCTGGGTTCTATTAGAAAGCAGGTTGAGCAAACCATGAGGAACAAACCAGTAAGCCACACTACTCCATGGCCTCTGCATCATCAGCTCCTGCCTCCAGGCTCCTGACTTGTTTGAGTTCCTGTCTTGACTTCCTTCAGTAATGGATAACAATGTGGAACTATAAGCCAAATAAACCCTTCCTCACCCCCACCCCCAACTTTCTGGTCATGGTATTTCATCCCAGCAATAGAAACCCTAACAAAGACACTTGCTCTCCATGGCTTGCGCAGTTTGCTTTCTGATATAACCCGAGACCACCTGCCTAGAAATAGCACTACCCACAGTGGTCTGGGCCCTCCCCCATCAAATCCACTACTCAAGAAAATCCCCAAGGATTCTCTGCCAGGGCACTCTAATGAAGTATTTCCTCACCTGTGCTTCCCTCTTCCAAGTGACCCTAGCTTCTGTCAAGCTGACAAATTAACCAGCACAACCAGCTAGTTGGCAACATCTCAGGTAGAAATGTCTTCTTGGCTTATGGATAGTTTGGTAAGGGCTTTTAGAAATAAGAATGTTTGAAGTTGGCCCTGGGCAGTGGTCTTGCCCACTTTTTAGCCTCAGGCTCTTGGGCATGTGACTCAATCTCTTGGAGATTCATGTTTTTCATCTGTAACTGAAGATAATGAGACCTTCTGCATGTGTACTACCTGTTCCTCCTAAGTGCTCAACAAATGCCCCTCTCCTGAGCAAACCACACCCAGAAGCTGACAGATACCTCACTGATTTCTTAAAGAACAAAGCATACTCACTTCAGTAAACACATCGATGGGCAATTGTAGAGTTGCACCACAGTGGACTGCTGCTCTTTTCTAAATAGCCTGGCAGCCAGATGGACATTCTTCTGCCTCAGGGACTGTATCGGCCTCTCTTCCAGGTTGTGGAGACTGGAGAGGACGAATGCAGCAACAGCCATTCAGCAAACCATACGTAGAGTACTTCATGTATACAACTATCCATTAGTAGGGTCCCAAGAGGACTCAGACCAGGATTGGCTAGAAGGTGGGTCAGCAGGCTTGTGGCAGATGAGCAGGATTCCCAAGGAGGGAGATGGTAGGCACTGGAGTAAGCAGATCAAAGCGGCCCAGCTTTCCCTAAGGGGTTATAGTTGGTTGTTCAGCACTGTTATACTGAAAATAATATTTATTTCCTAGGTCTTTATTGTGAGTGTGCTTTACTTCCCCCCCCCCCTTGTGAATGAGCAAAATTGTGGGAAGCCAGCCCTTCATCCCCCTTGATTGACAGTTGATGGACTCTTCCCTTATGCTCTGTTACCGTGAGTAGGGAGCAGTCAGCTCAGAAGCTCTTCTCCAGGTGACCGACTGGGGTGTCATATGGCAGCCTGGTGGCTTTGACTACTTTATGGACACCTTGAAGAAACTCCTCTCCTGCTACAAGCAACACTTTCAACCATGGCTGGGAGCTGCGGCTGTTTAGGAAGACTTGTTCCAGTTATAACTACTCCAAACTATGCCAGTACCGGCAAAACTTCACTCTGGTCATTCCAGGCCTCAGTGATCTCTAGATGACCAAGCTAGCAGCTGTGGAGTTCTGCCCTACCTTCAACAGGTAGAATGAGGAATAGTATACCCCCAGTGACTCAGTGCAAAGCTTGGGGTTGGCAGATACATGACTTGTGACTAGTTCTTAGGAAGGACTGTGATTGGTCTGGGGGAAACTGGAAGGTGTGCTGTTATTGGTGCAAAATACAATCCCATGTTTGCATGCCTCGCCCCTTCTGAGTGTGGCAACATGACTGGGCTGTGCCCTGTACTTTGAGTCAGCGTGGGAGTCTTCTCTGTTCTGCCTTCTTGTGTTGCACCATTAGTTCCAATAAAAGACGCCTCCCAAGTGGTCTTTTCTCGCTTGCTTGTGGTCTTTGTCCTGGGTAGGACAGGCTGAATTGATACCATGAGGAGCAGGTGGCAGTGGCCGTGGCTATGGCAACAATGGCAGTTGTAGCAGCAGCAGCGTTGGCAGTAGCGATCGAAGCAAGAAGGCAGCTGAAGAGTTTAAGCGTGAGCTGGAGCAGTTCCTGCAGGGAGCCGAGGTATCAAGTGATGGGGAAGGTCAGAGACAGAGAAGATGGAGAAGCGAGCAGGAGGCTATGAAGGCTTCATAGCAAACTCTGGGTTCCAGTTACTGGAAGATTCCAGAGAACTTCCAAGGCTCAAGGGTCTTGACACACAAGGCTTGAGAGCTTAACTGGTGCTGTTGAGGGCCAAGGGTTCCAGCACCCCTGGGGACTGTGGCTTAGGTGAGTGCTGAGTGCTTTTACTGCAGCTGCTACTGACCCAACAGATGCTACTTGCCATGTGCTTAGATGCTGCTAGTCACAGCCCAGATCAGCAAGCAACTGGAGCACCGAGAACTGTAAGCCGTTGTCTGCTACCACCTGGAACCACACGCCTCTAGTCTCAGGGCTTAAGAGCGACAAGCATCCCGGGCTCCCCAGCCTTTGGGGCCCAATGGCCCAGGCCTCCCAATTCTGAAACGCTCTTCTTTGTCTCTGGTGATTCAGAGAAGAACAAACATGACCCCAGCCAGCTGACTGGTATCCAGAGCAGATGGCTTGTCTCCATGACACGTCCGCTCAAGGACTCCAGAGACATCCTAGACTGTTGATTCATTTGAAATATGGGGACAGAGACCAGAAGAAGTGCAGAGAATTGACTGGGGGCATTAGCCAATTGGGTGTGAATGGAACAGCTCCAAAAACTGTCTGCTGTCCTCATTCCTTAGCTAAGAGGCTGCTTATGAATACTTTTATTAACTAATTTCCCCAGTTTTATCTCATCTCTCTCCTCTTCCCCCCCCCCCCGGCCTGGAGTTCCCCTTTTCCTTCCTTCTTAGTTCTATTCTGGCTTTGAAGTTGAAACTTTCTTCACCAGAAGTGGTCACTAGTTTCCTCATATGCAAGGGCCAGGCAGTTACTAGAGGGTTTGGGAAATTCTGTGCATTACTGTACAGCAGTCATTCCAGCAGGGGCGATTTCTACTCCGGAGCCATTTGACATCTGGAGATGCTTTGATCATCATAACAGGAGAGTTGGTGGCCAAATGCAGCTGACAGACTTGGGGACATCATTCAACACCCTCTGCCACACAGGACAGTCCCACAACAGAGGGTTCTCCAGCCCCAGGAGAACTAGCCCCTGTACTAACTGGAGGAAGCTTGTCCCAAGGTACTTAAGAGGGTGCCACCTTTTCTTCCTAGCCATGTTTGAAGCTGATCAGTTTCCTCTCATGAGACCCACACTCCTCACCACACCAGAGCTTCGGATTGGGCAGTACTCCACAAAGGGTTCTAGAGCACCCGGGCAGGCTCTTGGGCACCGGCAGTTTTGGTTACAGTACCCCTCCATGAGCCAGCTTCCTGAGGAGCAGGTCTACTGCTGTCTGTGGGGTATGTGGGAAGGGGACCTGGTATGTGAGGGTTTGTGTATACACACATGTAGGGGAGGGTACTTAACTGATCCTTCTGTGAACTTAACCCAGTCCTCCAGCTTTGGGTACCATCTTGCATGCCCACCTGCATGCCCTGGCCCTCTGCATTCCTGATCCTTCTCGAGTTATGTCCTGAGAATGGATCCACTTCTTGAAGCCTATCAGGACGCTGTCCTCTCTGGCCTGAGTTAGTTGCCCATCTGCTTGCTGTCTTCCAGTATGGTTTCTGGTCCCTTCTCTTTCCCCCTCTCCATGTTCATGTTCTAGCTCATTGCTTTGCTGCCGCCATCCTTAGGTTTGGGAGGGAATGAGTACCAATGTGTAAAGTCCATCCCCTTAAACCAGAAGTGGGATCCTCGTATGGTGGATTCAAGTCTTTGAAGTTATGTCTGGCACAGTACTGATGATGGAATTCTTTTCAGTTAAGTCTCTAGAAACAGGAATTGAGGGAGGGCACAGATAGGAAGCAGAAGAGGCCCATGACTTTAGTCTCAGTAAGCCTCGGTGTTCCTGCCTGCAAACTGTGTGCTTTGCTCTGGAGATGACGGAGTGAGGGAAGGCTGCAGGGGAATAAAGATGACGCAGAGGGCCACTGCTTGCCACCATCATCCCCGTGGCTGGAATGATCACCATCTTGTCCTCCTGCTGTATAATCAAGGGATTGTGTCACGTGGTTATAATGACAGAATGTGTAGCCCTTGGACGGGCCTAACCTAACATGTAAGTGCGTATATCGATTGCCTCGTTTTCTTGCCAGAGGCTTCCAGTTTGGTTGGCAGAGGGGCGACCAGCAGGCCAATTGGACTGGGCTCTTTAATGACAGCGACAGCTCAACAGAGCAGAGCATCAGTGACTTCAGATCCAGGTACAGACCCCGGTGGCTGGCAGGGGAAGGGGGAGCCCGCCGGGAGGACACTCTGCCGTCCTTGCCCCATTGCCTGTCCCTAGAGCTGCCTCAGGGGAGGAGCGCCTCAGTCTTCTTTTCCACAGCTCTTTGTGTTTGAGGTCCTCCTGTGCCCTTTACTTGAGGGGTGAATGGATATGAGGGATGAGGGATAGGACCTCCCCCCAACACCGTGGAGACACTGGTCTTGTCTTCTGGGTAGGGTAGGATGGGAGCTCTGAGCTTCAGTCCCCCCCCCCAATTGTAGGTGGGAACCAGAGCTGTGTCTACACAGCAGAGGTTTCAGACTTGAGTTGGCCATTGCTTGTGTGTGGAGGAGGGCGTGGCAGCATCAGGGAGTGGGTATTGGGCAGGCATGTGACATTCATTTCATCTTCTCCTGTTCATTTCCTCTTGATAGGTTGCAACATTTAAAGCTAAAGTCAGTACCTAAGGGGTCTTCTGCCTACATGGGAAAAATGCCACAATGTTTGTTGAATGCAGAAAAGTGGAATATTCTTAGGTGAACACATTCTTTGCAAGGAGGAATTGTGTGGACGAGACCGGATGTTTTCTGTGTTTGGAGATGTGCATGGCAGGCACCCGCCAAGTAACAGTTTCCAGGGGCTGATTAAGCTGTTTGGTACTTTGATTTTTTTTTTTCAATTTCTAAGTATGAACTAACTGTTAGATCTTCTTCCCTGAGAAAAAGACCTGAGTTTTCTTTGGAGTTAATCTTGACCCTAAACATTGAATCTAACAAGGTATATGTCCACAGAGCAGGGCGGCTCTCAGCTCTCTTTGGAGAACTTCTCTGTGCAGTGAATGGTGGTCAGTGCAGAAACTCACAACTCTTCAGCATGCAGGGAAGAAGTGTCTGTGGAGTGCCTAGCCACAGCTGGGCTATCACACACTCACCCCTCAGCGACCATTAAAGAAGACAGGGATGGAAGGATTGTAAGAGTCAGAGGTCAGAGAAGACCAGTGTCTCTGTGACATCACAGGACTGCTGTACACATGGGCTCACAGCAGCTGTGGTCTCCTGCACAAGAAAAACCTGGACATGGCCAAGCCAGTCAACATTCCAACATGGAGAGGAGAAGGCTCGTGAGCCCCCACCTCGACCAAAGCAGCTATTGGCAGTTGATGACTTCTCTGGGAGAGAGAGTCAGTTTTCCTCAGGAGAGGGGTCCCTGCCCATCTACTACTTTCCAGTGGGTGGTGCATGCCCATGCATACACGGCAACACTCCTTGGACCCAGTGGGAGATAAATTTTAAAAGGGCGGGAAGTGAGATGGCGGTGGGTAGGAAGAAGACTTGGGAGGAACTAAGAGTGAATATGATCGAATTCATTGTACGCCATGTATGAAATTCTCAAAGAATTCATAAAAATACCATACTTGACAACCAAAGATTAGCCGCTTACCGTACCATGGCGTCCCAGGGGCCCATGCCTCCTTCTGTGCTTACACAGGAAGAACTGTGGTCCCAAGAGGCCAGCATCAGACCCTTGAGGCCTGACCATGGTGTGTAGCCACGCTACCCTACCCAGACCTCCCTGCCTACCTCAGAACATCTGCCCACTTGGTTTCTGACACTGTCACCACGTCTTTACTTTTCCAAAGCTGTGAACCAAAGTATGAGACCCGTCCCTACATGTCCCAGCCGCCAGCATCTTCTCTTTCCCTGTCCTCAGTGCTGTTCCTCTCCTCCTCTTCTCGCTCCTCTTCCCCCTCCCCGCTCCCTCCTCATGTGAAACCGCCTCCTTTCTCTTGTTTCCTGTCTCCTTTCTCAGCCCACATTTTCTTTCTCCTTCCCTTTCTCATCTCCCTTCTTCTTTATTCTTCTCTCTTCCACTTTATAATCAGAGCCTCCCTTCCCCACCATCTGGGACTCCCCGGGCGTGGAGACACTGCTAGAATCTGCTTCCTTTTGGAATTCAGAGGCTTTTTATCCAGCAATGTTACCCCCTCAACCGAGGTCCCTTTGGAGCGCTGCCGCCATTTGATCAAGAACCCCCTTGGTCACAGAATCAGTGCCTTGACCACACACCCCAAAATTTTCTGGAATAATTCCCATTTCAAGTCTCACTTTCTTCTTTTCCTAAAAGAAAGTTTATTTAGAAAGCATAAGCCGGTCGTACCACTTGAATTTTCTTTTAATACAAGACGCGATGCCAAGCTGAGGCCATTTGTAAGGCCTGCCTCTCCGGAGAGCTGGTTTTCAAGAACAGCTGTGAGCCACACATGGTTACTAGCAGGGTTTCCTTTAGCCAGAGGCTGGTGAGGTGCCTCTGCTTTTGAGTTTCTTACCACACGTGTGTGTGTGTGTGTGTGTGTGTGTGTGTGTGTGTGTGTGTGTGCGCGCGCGCGTATGCCAGGTGTTGATTTTGCTGATGGAAACCTGGTGACAAGTATGGACACAAAATGACTTGAACTAAATCCCACAGCTGCTTCTTTGTGAGGGTCGGAGCGATGGTGTCTGCTAGCCAGGAGGGCGGGAATCGGAAGGAGCTGGCTGTGACATCTGGCCTGTGCACCGCAGCTGGTTCACTGTTGGCCCCATGTGTGAAAGACTGTGCAGCGTGTGTGGTTCTCGTGTGTGGGAGGAACGGTTAACATAATTGAACAAGGCCGGAGACTTTTCACCTGGATGAAAGAGAGCTTGTGCCTTCGTTAAGATGGGCTGGGCAGCTCCTGCAGCAGATTTGCAGCCCCCAGGGAGAACTTAACAAGGACAGGCATCATATACGTCATCCCAGCTAACAACTTTGTATCTGGGATATAGAATATCTTTGTGGTATTATTCACCTACTGAATAATTCAGTGCTTGCCATATTTTACTCCCTGTAGTTGTGTGTGGTATGTGGAAGTGTGATGCAGCCTGTTAGCATTTTATTATTAACAGGGTTGGAAAGGAAGTCAGGAGACACCAAATATAACCAGAGGATGAGGAGGAGCACACCAGCAAACGATTTCTAGTCTCTGTTCAAGCAGGAACCACGAGGAGAAGGACCCAGCCTGAAAAACTCCAAACAGAACCTTCAAGAAAATCCTGGCTGATAATGCGCATCGAGGCTATGGTCAGATCTGGTAGACACATACCAGAACTCAGGCTGAGCTGGAAACTGTGTTATACAATATACATTGGCATACAGCTTCATGGAATTTGAGTCAAGTCTATGAAGTTTTGCCCAGTAAGCATCCTTAGGGGAACAGCTTTAAGGAGCAGAAGAATGGAGTAGTTGTTAACCGACAAATGTTAAGTGAGTGTTTAGGAGAGTCTTTGAGGACAGTTCCCGTGTTCAGAGCATGAGTTCACATTTCTGTCTCCTGCAGTGGTTGTGAGCCCTCCTACTGTCTCAGCACACGGTGGCACCTGCTGTAGCAGATACCCAATACACGGGGACAGCCTGAGAGGCTGAGCTGAGTGGGAAGTAGAGGCTCATGGTAAGAAAGCAAACTCCAGTTTCTCTGTTTCCAGATCTGGCTTCTGCATTCACCCCTGTCATCTCCTGATGCTGTCTTTAAAAAGGTTGGAACTATCCAAGATTCTCTCTTGAGAAGAGCAGATGGATGAGTGACTTGAGGGTTCTGAGATCCTGGATAGAAAAGGGGAGACTGGAAGTTGGGGAGGGGTGTGTAAAAAGCAGAGAAGAGTCAGTGAAGGTGGGCTATATAGACCTGTGGTAACTGACTGAGAAACCCTCCCAAATACCGCCATGCCTGGCAGCAGATAAGGCAATTCTGGGAGGTAAGGCAAAGTCCTTGCCTTTTTTGGCCAGGATACCTTGACTCCTCTGGTCCGACCTGTCTGTCTGTCTGCTTAGTGGCTTCTTTGGGGAGGTAACTGTCTCCTTGGTGGTTGCCCACTTTGTCTACAGGGCGGGCAACATTGCATCCACTTCCTCATGCCATCTCAGGTGAAGATACCCCCAAGTCATATGGTGCTGTGGCAGCTAAGGCAGGAGAAAACCCCTTCCCCCACTCCAGGAGCTGTCCGCCACCCATGGCTGACAGCCTAGCCTAGAACTATGGCACAAGGGCTTCACTCAGTGCTGTGGCTGTACTCCGTTCTACATGTCTGCCAGCCAATTCCGCCCCCCGCCCCCCACTCCACCTTTACCATCTCCTCCTTTGGTCTCTCTGATAGCCCAGCTCACCTGACTTCCATTTAATTCTGCCTTTTGTAAGATACGCCTGCCCTGGAGGCAGTTTCTACCGTCGTACGCATGGACTTTTCTGGAAAGTGCACGTATATGCTTTTGAGCTTTCTCAGACACCCCAAATCCCAAAGAGCTTCTCACCATGGAGGTGTGGGCTGGCACGTATGCATGCATCTTGGGACCCTCTGGATCCTTGAGCTCCAGGTGCAACCTTGACCTCATTGGTGCCTCCCGGCTTCCACACCAACCTTGGCTCTCCATTCTAACAGGATGGCCAGAGGAGGAAATGAGAGGTGTCCCAAGAAAAACAACCTGAGGCCTAAAGCCAAGCTGGTCCAACTGCCACCACCAAGCTGCCTGTGACTAGACACTGCTCTCCCTGGCTTAGTAGCTTCTAGGCTGGAAAATGGAGGGGGGTCTCCAGCATGGCAGACAAGAGAGGTGAAGTCAAAGGTCTGAGAGAACCAACTGAGGGTCAGGAGCCAAGGTTGAGATCAGCCATGTGTGTGTCTAGTAAGTCCTGTGGAGTGGCAGTGGAACTGTCATATTGCTTGGCTAGAAGGAACTTGACTGAATTCAGTTCTGTGCTTTATTATGTGACTTCTTCCCTAATTGTTCTGAGACAATGCATAATTAGGCACTAAACTGTGAGATGCAGATGGTAAGTGCACTGGAGCTTAGTGTGAGAGTCAGAGGGACTTCCGGAGTGGGTAAGACTTGGCTTGGGCCTGGAGGACCCTGCCTGTAGCCTGCCATCACTGGGTGTGGTTGTATGCCAGGCATTTGCTGAGGACATTCTGGGAATCATTGCCAGCA